ACCACCCTGCCAGTAAGTTAACCACCCCAACTGAGAGCTCATCCAACAGCCCAAGTGCTAAAATTGAGAGCAGTTCCTTCATCAATCAATATATAGAAGTGAAAAGCTGTATCTTCTTGCATCAAAGCAAACTCCTCTCTTCCCATAATCAAGATCTGGGATCCAGCAATCAGACAGAAACATAAACACCACTCAAGCCTGAATGGTTTCTGTAGTACTGAAGAAAAACCACAAACCTTTAAGGTATCACAAAGGGAGAAAAGTCAGCTAGCATGACACTATTTTACTCCTAAACCTCCTTCTAATGCATAACCTTCTTCTAAAATTTCTCAACTACCAAACCAAGCACCAGGCCTTCCCAAAGGACAGACCTCTTTAATCAATTACGAAGCTGAGCAGAGGTTTAAAAAGAAATATTGAATGTGATTTGATGCACGTTTTAAATTGCTAGATAATAGACGTGTTCAAAGTATTTCCTGCGCAGCTGAGTAATTCTGCTTGTTGCTGTTGATCACCACAGGAATATGGGCAGAGAAAAAAAAGACACTGAAGAAAATTTCACATTTTTTAGAACTGAAGAAAGAAATGAACATTTTGTAGGATATGGAGGACTAAATTAGAGCTCTATTTCCGAACCACAGTACAGCAGATCCTAATACCTTACAGGTCAGTTATTCACACAATTGACTGCATTTCTGTTGAAGAAGTCAGTAATTTCCAGAGATTAACACTAAATACTGGTTTCCCGGACACCAAACTTCACAGTCAAGGTTAAAAATTGCTACTGCCTGTGAGTGAACAGATACTTGAGGGAAGTAACTGGTATTTATTTTAGAAAACGTCCTGTTTTGTCTGTTGGCAGCACCATTAGTACTTCTTTTCTCCTGCAAAAACACTGCAGCACGATGCAAATGCCTGTTCTTGAGGCTAAAGGGTAAAGAACTACTTGAAATGCAATTACTTAGATGGAAATAGTAGTAACTTCACCCACTACTAGAAAAATAAATTGATACAAATCACACGGAGAGGTCCTGCACCCAATTAATAAAGAAATATTCCCATCAACAATTTAAACAATTAGGCTAAACAAACTACCGTTCACGCCTAACCATAAAAATTAGGAAAGTATAATGAAATTAAGAGAAATAAACAAGTCTGCCCGATACTGCTGCATCTGGAAAGACAGCACCTCCAGCTGGGGCATGAATTCAGCACTGATTCAGGAGACAAGAACTCTTATCTGCCAAATCAACACGACTTCTTGCAACAGTCCAGGTTTCACTTGGAAATCTTGCTGAACTACCAGCCAAGCCCAACCTAGATTAGACTGCAATGAGATCATGACTTGAGGAGGTATTGCTGCAGGCCCTTGTAAAACTGATATTAAAGAGGAACTTATTCAAATGATACATCATTCTTTCTCGAAATGCCTACACTACCATGTTTTCATATTTATTAATGTAACAGAGATCACGTTGACTGCAGAGCAACTTCACAGTTCTTCAGCCTACTGCTAGCACAAGAAGCGAAATGACTTTCTGCCCATCACTCACAATCAATGCTGTGATTGACACTACAAGTTGAGCATCACAGATAAGAGTCATTTTAAAGTAAAAGTAATCAAGATAACGCAGGTATGGGAGACTTTCACAAGAGTCACAGCCGAGCACTCTGACTTATCATTTTCACGAGTTCCAGCCAAACCTTCCTATTCAGAGTTTGTTTCTTCAAAGAGAGGGAAAAATAAGGAGAAAGCCACAGCCTGTGAAACTTCTAATAAAACTCCTCAGTGCAGTCATCTCACCTTGTGTGGAAGCAAACACTTTACTAGACAAAGCAGGTCTTTTCTTTCCAGATGTCAAATTAGGCAAGAACAAGCTGCCTTTGGGCAATTTTTTGGAATGTTATCGCACAGACGCAGAGATCATAAAAAATGTAAAGCATTTTTAAGGGACATTATAAAAATAGCAGTAAGCAACGCGATGACAACATTACAAGCTTTTTTTTTTTTTTAAACTAAATATCAGCAGCACCAGTGGCACGTGGGTGGGGCAGGCATTAGGACCAGCTCTGTTTAACGACCAAGCAAGCCATATCATGTACCTCTTTTACTCTGTGCCTCTGCCACAGCAACAACAAAAAAGGTAAGGAAACAAAACACAGAAAAAGGCTCTCGGCTGGCAGGTGAATTCGATATTCTACCTACCAGGCTCAGGATGCCCTCCAGGCCCCATTTCAGCCACAGAGCTCCCAGGAGCCAGAGACGCCCGCTCCTGCTGCCTGGTACCCAGTACAGCAGCGTGACTCCAGGCTGACCTCTCCCTACACTGTGTGCACGCAGCGTTTTTTGTCCCAACATTCCAGTGGCTGCACACATGCTTATCTCCCTGCTGAGACTGAAAACATAGAGTTTCTCCTGCTTAGCGTGCCTTTCCCTCAGCGATTATTGGTAGTTTGGTGGATCAAAGGGCGCTATGAGCTTGAAATCTACTCAATTAAAACAAGAAATTCCCAAACAGCTTTTGCACCACTTCTTTCCTTACAAGTCCCCATGATACTTGTTATTAAAAAAAAAGTTCCCTTCCTGCTAGCTAGTAAAGTAGCCACACAACCAGGGAAACAAACGTCAAAGTTTGCTATGCAGAAAGCACTGCAAAATGAACAGCTGAAGCTTTTTCATTAATTTTTCAGCTACAGCATTTCCTTGTGCTACTTCTCAGATGGTTCTGGCAGTTGTCCCACACAGAGCAAAGACAGCAGGAAACATTTACACCACGCACTTCCAACATTAACATAAAGGTGCAAATTTCTTCAAAGGCTGACCTTGCTTTAGAGATGGCGGCGAGAAAGGAGAAGGGCAGAATTTTAGAAATCCCCCTTAAGTAGCTGCTATCTGAAACTCCATTCACACCTTGTCACATTCCTCTCCTTAAAAAGTGGCATTTCACATCATACGCCTTCCCTCTCCCAGAACAGCTCCAGACTTCAGCGAGATGAGCTCAGTATCCACCTCACACTCAGACATGGTTCAAACAAACAAAATCAGTGTCTTTTCACTGAGGTTTTGAAGGATTCAGACCAGTATTGATTGCCACAAGCCTAGTCAATAAAGGATAAAGGATTAAACTTGCCACAGGAGAAGAGTATGCAGCGATGAAGTGGCATTCCCCTTTTCTGTGGTGGCCTAGCGATCCACCCTTCCACACAGGAAAATGCAAGTTGAGGGACTGCTTTAATCACCTGGTACAAATTATCCTTCCCAGTGGTTTTCCACCACTAGAGGCTGTACAGAATAAACAAAACATGCACCGACATGGGTGGGCAAAAATGAGTGGAAGATTTCGCACTTGAAGACTTTGGATTCCTGGGGATACGGGAGGCACAAGCTTCAGTCAACGGTTTCACACTTAGCTTGCTACACTTGCTTCCAAAATCTGCAACTGAAAATCCACTCCAAAACCTCAGGCACAAGGATAGGACTCAGGCTGTCTCTTTGCCCGAGGTCAGTAGCGATGATTTCGGGCGGTAGAGGGCTGTGGTTCCCCTTCATTATTACTTGAGTAACAGACCCAGATGAAAAGGTTCCCATCCCCAGACACTTCTTCCCGCATACCACAGCCACATCCTCATGCCACAAATATTTAAAGCCTGTTACTTAATACCTAAGCAACATTATGAATAAGAATCGCTAATCAGCGTTTAGATGTAGTGCCAGTTAGTCTTTACCAGAATGGAGGAATCATTGGATTTGGCACTTGATAGCTCCCAGACACATAATAAGTGGCTCTTTTCTCCTTCCCTCAAATGCCTGCAGTTTTGATATTCAGTAGTTCAGCATGCCAGTAAGTGGCCAACAGATGCAGAGTCACCTCTTAGCACACACATTTGCCAGACTGTTGCTGCTTGGAAAAGTACGGAAGAGATCTAGAAAAAATTCTGAAGAGATCTAACTTGAAAAGTCCTCTCTAAAGTAATGCCAAGAGGGGAAGAAAGGAATCAATTGGAAAATCCAGAATGAAACAAGCTGAAAAATAAAAACAGAGTAATTTCTGCTGTGGATAAGACAGGACTTGTTGACCTCTGACACTTTTCATGTACTTTTAACAGGACTTGCAGACCAAGAGCATACATTTCTTTCCTACAGATCTGGAGCCAAATGTTTTTCTAATGTGGATTTATTATTTTTTCTTTTTAAATTCCATATGGATCCATTTCAATGTGTTTCTGATTGTGTGACAAGAAAGTTGTTGTAACAGGAAAACCCAGCAGTTACTGGGGACGGGAATTCTGCAAGCAAAGTGCATCCAGATGAAAATCATTTTCCAGAAAATATTATTCACTTCTTTAACCTTATGCCCAACACACTGAGATTAAAGCTGTAAGTACACAAGGATTTAGAAAAAAGCCACGAAAAAAAGCCAGAAAGTCCCTCAGCAGCCTCCCCATCCCCCTGCCTCTGGAGCATGGATTTGGTCACTATCCACAAACCTTTTGTTTAGAGAAGGAGGGAGATGCAAAAGGTCACCCTAATTGTTTTCCACGTGCCAGGGGGGCAGGGGCAGAGAAAGCCCGGTGTCAGCACGGCGGGTTCCAGACCTCGCTCTCTCCTTCAGCAGCCGGGGCCCACAGCTCCCTCACCAGGCTTTCTCCACAGCCCGGCTGCCAGCGTTCGCACCTACTTCACTGAGCGTTAATGGGAAACGAGACCGTGCCCTCGAAGCTCCAACCGAGCTGCAGACTGACGCCGCGCAACAACCTGTTCTCCTAAATCCTCCCTCGTCGCACCCCGCCGAGGCGGCTCAGCACCCGGCGCTCACCGAGCCAGGCGCTAACGGGAACGCACGCCCGCCGCAGCACCTGCGTTGCCGGGAGGCGGCCCGAGAAGAGGGCAGCTCGTCCAGGCCGGGCCCTCAGCCACCGCCGCAGGTGCGGGTCCGGCCCCGGCTCGCCGGCGCCCAACATGGAGCCGCACCTCCTCCCTTCCTCGCCCTCCGCCTCACCTTGGTGATGATGAGGGGCTCGCCGTGCTCCCGTCCGCCTTTCAGCGTGAAGCCCCACGGCGCGCCGCCGGTCAGCAGCACCTCCACCAGCCTGTAGCCCTCGGCCGCCCGCTGCTCCACCATCAGCACCACGGGTTCCGCCAGCACGGCGCCGGGGAGCCGCTCCCGCCCGCTCCGCAGCCCCACGTCTTCCATGGCGCCCCCGCACCGCCCGTCGGGGCCGGGGCTGCGCCTCTACCGGCGGCCGCCCGCCCCGCCGCTACCCGCCCCGCCGCTCCGGCCGGCCCGGCCCCATCGGCGGTCAGAGAGCTGTCCCCGCCCCCGCCTCCTCCCTCAGCCCGGGGTATTGTTTCACGCCGATACCGGAGCCCGGCGGCGGGGGGCCGGCTGCAACTTGTGGCGACTTGGGACGGCGGGAGGAGGTTCCGCCGCCTCGCACCCCGACGCGAGGGCGAAACCCCCGCCGAGCGGGGATCCGCTCTCTCGCTCTCCGGGGCGAGGAGGAGGAGGAGGAAGAAGAAGAGGAGCGGCCCCTGGGCGGCCGGCAGACAAAGGCTGGCGGCGAGGGGTCCGCCGGCCAGCCCCGCGCTCAAGCAAAGCGGCGAGCAGGTGGAGCCCCGCCGCTCCACCTCGGGAAGGAGCAGCTCGCGGCCACGGCACTTGTGCCCTCACCGTGCCAGGCGGCGGGGGGAAGCGAGGATAGGGGGAGGAGGTGCTTTCCGCCACGGTGTTGGGGGAGGGCTGGGTACTGGAGCCGGGCAACGTGGAGGGCAGGGCAGCAGGGAGGGGGACGAAAGGGGCAGCCGGGGGCGGTGTTTGTCCACAGCTCCGCCCTGCCGCTCCCCGCCCCTTAACGGCTCCGCCACCTGCGAGGCGGGAGGAGCCTGGAGCCGACCGCGCTGCCCCTCCGCGACCCTCTAGCGGCGGCTGTGAGGAGGCGGGCTGAGGGCATAGCGGGACTCGGGTCAGCAGTCGGTGGGAAACCTGCAGCGAGAATACCGACAGCCTAAACTCAAACACTCTGCTCTGACCATTTGCCTGGAGTTTGGGAGCACCAGTGCACAGCTGTCGTTTGCTTCTCGCTACCAGACAGGTGAATCAAAGGCACACGGGAAAATCTGTATGTTGTCTTCTGAGAGAGTAGGGAGTCTCAGCGTTCTTCCACGTGTGAGAAATGGTCTCAGGGAGGTGCACAGGGTAAACAGTGCAATTTCAGGGTTCTGTAATTCTGTATGTGTGTTCACACACATTGCTTCTAGAAGTGGCCATCATGATCATCAAGGCTGAAAAAGACTGATAAGATCATCTACTCCAACCATCAACCCTTCTCCACCATGCCCACCTACCATGTTCCTCAGTGCTATATCTGAATATTTCTTGAACACCTTTAGAGACAGTGACTCCACCACCTCCCTGCGCAGCCTGTTCCAATGCACTGACACTCTTTCTAAGAAGAAATTTTTCCTAATATCCAATCTGAGCCTCCCCAGCTACTTAAGGCCATTCCCTCTCATCCTATCACTGTTACTGGGGAGAAGAAGCCAACCCCCACCTCACTACAATCTCCTTTCAGGTCATTGTAGAGAGCGATAAGGTCTCACAGAATCACAGAATGGCCAGGGTTGGAAGGGACCTCAAGGATCATGAATCTCCAACCCCCCTGCCACACGCAGGGCCACCAACCTCCTCATTTAATGCTAGACCAGGCTGCCCAGGGCCCCATCCAGTCTGGCCTTGAACACTTCCAGGGACGGGGCATCCATGACCTCTCTGGGCAGCCTGTTCCAGCACCTCACCACTCTCTCTGTAAAGAATTTCCCCCT